ACATCTTGCATTTGGGACAGGGAGAGCAATGTGGACCATTGAAAAGATGTTTCTAGGAACACCCAGGCACTGAGATGGGGTTGAGAGTGGGCACCGCCCCGACACCCCCGTCCCCCCTCCTCCTGTGCACCGCCATGCCCCCGCTGACACCGCGCATCCACGGGGAAGGTGGGGCGTTGGGCCTCATGCTCACCTTTGGCTGAGTGTCATCGAGCGTGACGCCCCCTGGAGCCTCGCTTTCCCCGCACACGGTCACGTGTCACGGCCGTGCCCACTCCTGCCGTGCCCGCTCAGGCTGTCCGCGTTCGGGGTCTTAGGACCAAGTGGCTGTGGTCATTCCTGTGCCCACCCCCCAGTGTCTGCGGCGCGTGCGGGCAGGGGGCTGCTGGGGTCTGGGGCCTGCACGTCCTCCACTCTCTAGACGAGGCCACGGGCTTTCACACGTCCCCCCCCCCCCGCCTCCCACAGTCGAGGGGAGAGCGCCCGTTCCACCCCACCCTGCAGACCTCCACACTGGACTGGGTGGTGGCGTCTCATTCAGCGTGTAGTTTGTATTTTCATGAGTTCTGATGACGGGAGTCCCTTCGACAGGTGGAGCCCTTGCCCTCGGCGGGGGAGGAGGAATGCTGTCCACATGCAGCACAGGGACATCGGAGCCCCTCCCCCTCCCCCCAGCACACAGTTGCCCCACCTGTGGATGGATGTTCTAGGGTGACACTCAGGCGTGTTTCCTATGTTGAGCTGCCTCACACTCAGGATTGCTTCTTAGCACGCAGGCTTGCGTCGCGGCAGCTCCTCAGGCTCCTGGCAGCCTCGCGGCCTGTTTTCCGGAAGCCAGGTCTGCCCGACGGGGACTGCCACTGGCCGACCCACTCCGAGCGGAGTGCTGCCCTCCAGGCCCACTGGGAATTGATGACCGCTTGTGCAAACTGTCCTCCGCCAATTGAGTAATTCTGAGTTGCAGGTTCTTCATTCATTTTCGGGTCATTCTATAAAGTAGGGTGCTAACATTTGCCTTTGGAAGTCCGTGTTCTCCCGGCCCTCAGCTTTTCTGTTTAGACACAATTACACACATGAACATACGGAGAACTAAATCAACACCAACTTTTCGGGAGTTTTCTGGGCTCTTCAGGCCAGAACTTTCTAGATCAACATTCGCCTCTCTCCTCCCACTTGTCAGATGCAAAGATACACGTTTAATCTACGGAGTCTCTAGAAATGACCCCTGTCCTTAGCAGGGGAGATTCTGAAATGATCCAGCAGCTTCCTTCTCCAGCCCTGACTTCTGTTCCTGAAGCCTGCCCAGGGTGGGGGACACAGGGTTGCGGGGGACGGGGGTGCCAGGGGACAGAGGGCCACCGGGAGCCATCCCAGGACACAGGAAGGCAGTGGGGCCTGGTCTGCGTGGTCTGACACCCACAGAGCCCTCACTCTGATGGAACCACCATGACAGACGACGTGCTCAACCTCTTCCGTTTTCCCTTTTTAGCTTTGAATTTTTTTTTAAAAAGATTTTATTTATTTGACACACAGAGAGAGATAGCCACAGAGGGAACACAAGCAGGGGGAGTGGGAGAGGGAGAAGCAGGCTTCCCGCTGAGCAGGGAGCCCGATGCGGGGCTCGATCCCAGGACCCTGGGATCATGACCCGAGCTGAAGGCAGACCCTTAACGACTGAGCCAGCCAGGCGCCCCTTAGCTTTGATTTCTTTAATGACAGCCATTATACTTGCCCATTCTAAGACCATGAAGATTAGAACCTGGAAACCTCCCTCCTTCTCCCCGCCCCCACCTCACCCCCTCGATGCCAGCCTCATATACGTACACTCAGGCCTTTTTTTTTTTTTTAAAGATTTATTTATTTATTTGAGAGAGAGAGAGAGAACGAGTGGGGGAAGGGCAGAGGGAGAGGGAGGATCTCCAGCAGACTCCCCGCTGAGTGCGGAGCTGTCCTGGAGGTCGATCTCACCACCCTGAGCCGAAACCAAGGGTCGGGGACTCAACCACCTGCACCCCCCAGGCGCCCCTACATTTAGACTTTCTTAAGAGCCTGTTGTGGAGGGGAGAGACCAAGAGACGAGATCTGGAAGCCCCTGGATTCCTTGAGATGTGGGTGAGGGTCCCAACCTGGGGAGTGGGGAGGGGGCCTCAGACCCCCCGGCTTTCCCTATCTGGCCCAGGGAGCTGAGGAACGGAGCCCCACTCAGGCAGGGGCAGGTGAGAGACCTTGTATCAGGAAAGTCAGGCCGCCCTCCGCGGGAGCAGGCTGAGCCTGAGCGGACCTGTGGGGCCGACCCTCCCATTACCTTCACTGGGCAACAGGAGACCCTGCCGGGCTGGAAGGGTATCCCCAGGGCCAGGGGAGGAGGGCACCTCGGGACAGGACACCCCTCGGGAGCCGAGTGAGGGGGTACAGGTGGGGAGAAGGGTCCCCACTAGGGGAAGCGAACTGAGCCAGGACAGGTGAGGGCCCTGACCCCGGGATGACACTGGGGGTTCAGGAGTCGGGGGCTGGGCTCCTCCAGACCTGCCCTGCTCCCCGACTCTGGGTGACATCAGGGCCCCTGGGTTCCAAGAGGGGTGGCTTGGGCCTAACACTGCTGCCACCCCCACCAGGCTGACAGGGTCAGGCCCCCCTTCCCCAAGGCCCACCCTCCAGCTGTGGGGCCATGGTGGGCTCAGCACAGACCCTGCACATGGAGGCCACGCCACTGTTGTCCTTCATCAGGACAAATGCTGAACACGCCTTTTGAGCCTCAGCTCCCGGCAGGAGGGAGACATGTTTGTAGCCCGAGAAGCCACATCCTGGAAGATTGTCACACAACCACCCCGTGCCTCAGTTTCCCCACCTCTAAGAGGGGATCGTTGACCTGGAGGTCCCACCTGGCCTGTGACCTGGAGCTGGGCAGGGAGCTGGGGGCGGGTGCAGGCAAGTCCAGCCCCTCCCAGGGCCCCTAATCGGCTCAGTCATGAGGCCCCAGCCACACAGAGGACGGTTAGGAAGGGCCTGACCTGAGCCGGACAGCTGGGCACTGTGCCCATCTGATCTGTGGTGGAGACCACGGGAACACGGGCTGGGTGTGGGGACAGGGAGTCTGGGGGTGGCTTCCTGGATGTGGGGAGCACTGATCCCCACCCCTGCCCGGGTGAGGAGAAAACAACGTGGGTTTGCCCACAGGGCACCTTGGATCTGACCTGGTGCTGCTGTGGTCTGTGTGTCCCTGAGCCGGCCACTTATCGCCAGGTGACAGGATGCATGGGGGGGACAAAGGCAGGTAAGGCCCACGTCTTCAGGGTGCGCAGAAGGAGCAGGTGGGGCCCGCCCCTCAGCCCCTCCTCTGCCCTCCTGCCTTGCGCAGCGGGTGTATAGCCCTCCCTGACCCACCTCAGGCCAAGCACATGCAGGGCTCAGGGCAGCCCCCCAACCCTGCAGGATACAGACATCATGGACCTGGGACCCTGGCCTCCTGCTCAGCTGGCTGTGCCTGGTGGGGGACCCAGTGAGTGGCTGGGGGGAGGGCAGGGGGCATCTGCAAATTCTGTGGACCTCCAGCTAGGGTCACTTTTCCAATCAATCATGGAGCTGGAGCCCCTCAGTTGGACACCCTGGCCCCAGGGGAGCTGTGGGCCGAGAGATTGGGGTGAACCTGGGGGCTGAGACGAGAGAGAGACCCTGTAGGCCTTGGTGTTTGCCTTGCCCACCAGGGTCAGAGCAGAGGGGCTCTGGCCTCAGCCAGGTGGGGCCTCCCACCACTCAGACCACCCTGGAGGAGATTATGATGGGCCACGGTGGGCTCCTGCTTTGCTACGTGGCTGGAAGGGAAGGGCCTGGACCCCACCCTGGAGCTCGTCTGCACTGGGCTTGGCCACCAGCTAGCATGGTCACAGCCATCGCCGGTGGGACTCTCGAGGGATCCCAAGTTCTACCCTGTCTGGGCCCATCTATACCTGCTCTCATGCCTCACATGAGCCCTGGACCCTGAGAGGCCAGCAGGGCGCCGGACCGGTCAAAGGTCAGGGCTGTGAACTTGGCTCCTCCCTCAGCCACCAGAGGGGACAGGCCGAACCTCTGCAGGGACCCTGGGGCTGGTGCCAGAGCTGGCTGTAGGCCCGCATCACCCAGCCCTGCTCCGGGCAAGGCAACAGGCTGGCTGCGCTCCCATGCGGGGATACGGATCCTGCCAGTGATAATACAACGCATTTCTTAAATAAGTTAATATTTATTCCATTTGCTTGGCCCCCCACCCCCACTGCCCCTTCCCTTAAGAAGCCAAATTTCCTGTGTCAGATTATTGCAACGTTTAACCTGAATTTATAAAAGAAAGGTCCACGAAACGCAGGGGCATCGGCAGGCACCGCTCAGCCCAGGCGCAGGCGGGGCCGCCGGCAGCGGCGGGGGACTTTATTGCACGGACCCCACGCCCCCGCGATGCGGGCGCGTCTGGAATACCCGAGGGCAGAATGGTGGGGCGTGGGCCCGGAGGGGAGCTGGGGAGACAGTGAGGAGGAGTGGGGACGGACAGGTGAGAACTCAGACTGAGGGACAGTGAGCGTGGCTGTGGCGGCCTCAGGGACCAAGCTGCCACCCAGGAGGGCACAGGTGGCCCCAAGCATGTGTTCCCTAGAAAAGTAAGTGGGCATGAGAACGGGGCTCTGCTGGGTAGCCTCGGACTGCCTCCTTCTGGTTGTTTCCTGATCCCTGTCACGGGGACACAGCGGCTGTCAGGGGATCCCTGATGGGGCGCTGGCACAGCCTCAGACCACGGTGACGAAACTCGGAAAAACACAAACCTGAATCCACCGGATGGAGGCTCGCAGGCTGAGGGGCTCCTCGCTATTCTGCTTTGCCCAGACCCAGTGTCCGCCTCCCTCCCCGGGCGGCCTCGCGGGCCTCTGTGCCGCGGCGGGGCCCGTGCTGGGGTCCCCACCCAGCCCTGCCCGGGGCCGCCACCCCACTGGGTGCACCCCACTGCTAAAACCTGTGTGGCACCATGCCCTGAGCTACACGGGCCTGTCTACACTGTTACCTGGGGTGGGGGTGGCTGGGGGAGACCCTTTCTTTGGGGGGGTCTGGAGGACTTTGAGGTGCAGCCCCCGCCCCTTCTCTGGGGGGTCGCTGGAGGGCATGGGAGGCTCGGTTTTGTGGGGTTCAGGAGGCACCGTGGCCCCTGAGAAGGAAGCCCTGGGTTCTGGGGCCATACTGTGGCCACCGTCTGAAAACGGGTCTCCGCCAGGGCCCCCCGTGTCCAGCGGCTCAAAGGCAAAGTTGGGGACGGTCAGGTGTTCTGCACGGCAGGGGGCCTGGGCCCGACGCTCCCCCCTGGTGGCAGGGTCCACCCCTGCCCCCTCCACGGGCTCCAGAGAGTCCCTGTGTGGCGTGGCCTCACAGGACGGGGTCCGCCGCCGCAGAGTGGTGCTGCTGCCCTCGGCCACTGGGGCCCGGGCCGTGCTTTCGTCCTCCACAGGGGGGTCTACAGAGATGCAGGGCGGGCTCATCTTCTTCTTCCTGCGTGCCCCCAAGGCTGGCTCGGCCTCCGGGGCCCGAGCCTTCGCCTCCCTGGCCTCTGGGTGGCCATCCCCACCCCCCTGCTCCCCGGAGGACCGCCTCTGCTCATCTGCCTGGCCGGGCTGGTCCAGGAAGCCCTGGGCGTCCACGCTGTAGAACCTCCGCAGGTCCGGGTCACTGCCTCCCCCTCCTCGGGCAGCGGGCGAGGCTGAGGGGCTCAGGGCGGAGCTGGTGATATGGCTGACCTCCTCGTCGGCAGGATCCGGGGTCTCAGCCTCCTCCCCTCCTGAGGCTGGTGGCCTGCCGGAGACGCAGCGCTGCCCGAAAGTGTGCTTGCGGGTGCGGACACTGCTGGGCCGCGGGGACCGGGGTGGGGACCGTATGGAGGCCCCCAGGGACGCCTGCCTCACGGGGGTCTTCCTGCCAGGCTCCCCCCAGCCCGGGCCGCTGTCCCTGGGGCCGTCAACGTGCCCTTCCTGCGAGTCGGTGCGCATGGCCTCCTGCAAGGAAGGACCCAGGATCCGATGAGGAACAAAGCCAGGCAGAACCCAGTCAGCAGCTAGAGATGTGAACGGCGCTCGCCAGAGAAGCCCCAGATTGGGCTTATGACCCCCGAGCCTAGGAATCAGGTTGAGATGTGGCTGGGAGCCACTGGGGGGGATGCTCTGTGCCCCAGCCCCACCTGTGCTGAATACACCGCTCGGGACCAGCCTGCCAGATGCTCACCACCAGTGCCGGTCATGCCGTGAGACGGTGAGGACAGAGGGCTGGGGGCCTGAACTCCTGTGGGCAGAGCCTCACCCTGCCCACCACCACCCCAAGGACAGGTGTCAGAGGGAAGGAGAGGGTCCGAGGCCGTGGGGCTGGAGGGAGGTCTGTGGGTGCAGGCAAGGCTCGGGGTGCTGCAAGGCACTGAGGCTGCCGCCTGAGGAGAAGACATGGTCCCCAGGGCCCTGCACTTTGTCTCAGGCTCCAGGGACATGCTCCCACTCTCTTCTCTGGTGTCCCTGTCCCTCACCCTTCACATACGGGGGAGCCACAGAGGAACCCCCAGGCCTGGGCTGCAGGACTGGGCCAGCTTCTCCTACCTGTCTGCAGAGCAGCCGGCTGAGGCTGGGGGAGCGGGCTGTGCCCCGAGGGGACAGGGCATGGAGGGTGTCGCTGTCCCTGGCTGGGGAGAGTGTGGCCGCTGAGGGGACCTGGAGAGAGGTGCAGGGCTCCACGGGCAGGGAGTGTGCAGAGGTTGCTGGGCCTGGGGCAGGAAAGCAAGTGCCCTCAGCGGTCACTACCCTGCCTGAGGCCCGCCCAGCCCCAGTCCCTGGGCCACCTGGAGGGACCGTACCTGTGGCGGCCGCGCCCGAGCATGTCTCCACGTCCGCTTCCCGCAGCGTGTGCGGGTGCGGGGCCGAGGCGGGCGCCACGGGCCGGAACATGTAACTGTCATTGGGCAGGGACAGCATCCTGGACACTGACACCTTGCGCACAACCAGGAGGCCTGGGGCATCTGGGCCATGCTGGGCCGTGGGCCGGGGGCAGGTGGGAGGCCCCTGCGCCACCTCCAGCTCCAGCTCGGCGTCCAGCTCGGCGTCCTCGCGGGCCTCCTTGTTGCTCTCCTCCAGGTGCTTCATGAGCACGGCCACTACCACGTTCACCAGCACGAACTGAGCCACCAGTACAAAGGTGACAAAGTAGATGGGGGAGATGGCGGGCAGGTAGCTGAGACAGTGCTTGTCCTCGCGGGCACACTCCCGCAGCGTGTCCTGAGGGTGGGGCGGGCGGCTGAAGGGCAGCGCTGGGCGCCCCGCCTCCCCGCCTACCCGCGTGGGGTGCCCGGTGGTGGGGGGGCCGCCGCCAGGCTCGGGCTGGTACCTTCATGATCCCGTTCCAGTTGTCCCCCGTGGATACGCGGAACAGCGTGAGGAAGGCCATGCCGAAGTTGGAGAAGGTGGCGTGCCGGCTCAGGCCCTCACAGGGGTTGTCCTCACTGCACTCTGCCGGGGAGACCCTCGTCCGGTCAGCCCGCGGATGCGGCAGGGGCGGGGCACACCCTAGGCCCCAGGGACCACGCTGACCCACTGTGGGCCCTGCCCTCCTCTGGGGAGAAGATCCTGCTCTCTTGGGGTAAAGGGTCCTAGCCTCTGTGGGGGCGGTGTCCTTTTGAGGTGGGGGTGGGGTGGGGACAGGGCTGCTCCTCTCACAGCCGTGGAGGCGGCCTCTAGGCCTGGCCTGGAGCCCTGGCCTCAGACCTGGGGCTTTCCAGATGGACACGGTCTCTGTGGGTACAGAGGCCAACCCTGCCGTGGCAGCCGGTTCTGGCTCAGCCCCAGCAGATGGCACCCATGCTCCCCAGGCCTGCCTGTGGGGTCAGCACACCCTCATGCCTCAGCAGCAGGACAGGGCTACCTTGGAGTAGGAGGCATGGTGAATGATGGGCCAGGCCAGGATTTGTCAGGCCTGGAGTCTGGGGCACCAGCTGCTGAGCTCTGGGCAGACCTGAGCTGGGAGAGCCACGTCAGCCACCTCGTGGGTGGGCCTGCCCTGGGGGCTGCTCAGTTAGACCAGGTGCTCAAGTGATCCCACAGGGGCCGGGTGGTCACAGAAGCCCCACCGGCTCCCTGCCCAGAGCCTCAGGCCTGAGGGATGAGGGACACTCTTGGTGACAATTAGGACAGTTAGGAGGCAGGGGAGCACATGAAGCTCAGGGAGACTCGTGCACGGGTTTGTGGGTGCATACGGCCTGTGCATACTTCTCACGCTCACGCATGGCTTTGTGCCCCCAGCTGGGGCGTGAGCCTGTGCGTGCGTGTGTGAACGTGTGCAGATGCTCCCGCGTGTGTCTGCCGTCTGTGCTGGTCTTGGGCAGTGAAGGGCTGATGGGGGCTGGGCCGGGGGAAGATGTGGCAGGAGGCCTACGCCCCGCGTCTGCCTGGCCGGCGCACCAAGGGCCTCATGCACATGCGGGACGCTGTGCACACTCACCGAGCCTCCCAAACAGCTCCACCCCCAGGGCAGCATAGATAAAAAACAGGAGCATGAAAAGTAGGCCGAGGTTCCCTACCTACACAAGGAAAAGAAGCAGAATGAGGTCAGGGGCCGCCTCAGCCCCCACCCACTGGGCACTTGGTGCCGGGCTGCCCTCACCCACATTCCCCACAGGCTCCCAGACACTGCTTTGGAGCCCTGTTCTGGACCCATCCCTCCCAGCCCTGGAGCTGTGACCCCCAGGGGCTCCTGCCCTGCCTGACACCCAAAGCCCCCCCGCACCGCCCCCTCTGTCCCTGCTCTCCTCACACCCCCGCTGCACCCTGGGCCGCAGACCCCACTGCCGGTAGCGCCTCTGCTCTTCAGAGCCCCAGGGGTGTCCCGGGGGCCCCGGTGGAGTCTGCACAGGGCCTGCCTCCAGCCTCGGGGACCCCATGGGTGCAGACAAAGCAGGGACCCTGCTCCCTGCTTGCTCATGGCTCTTCCAGCCCGTCCTCCTACTGCACTCGGCAGGGCGCCCCCTCCTCATGTGCCTCCTGTGACCCTGCCTCTCCAGCACCTGTCCCCCTACTCCTCCCCATCTGCCGCTTCCGCAGACACGGGCTGAGCGGCCTGCTGAGGGGACCGGTGGGGGCCAACTGAAGGGGGGAGGGTGTGAGGTGCGTGGGGGTGAGCGAGCGGCTGGATGGGGGACAGGCGACAGGCTAGCAGGGCTGGATGTACGGACAGATGGACACAAGGGTAGATGGACAGATGGCCGGGCGGGTTGGCAGAGGGACTGGGCACAGCATAAATGGGACCATGAGTCTCTTTCAGCTGAAGAGACCACAGAGGATCAGGATCGGGGCCGTAAGTGCAGGAAGTGAGGACGCGGAGCCTGAGTTGACTCCAAAGAGGAGTGGGACCCGTGGCCAACACATGGTCCCCTGAACTCCGACAAGCCCATCAGGGCCAAGTCCTCTGCCCACCACATCCAGAACTGGACAGGGGAAGGGGCACTGGTTTCCAGCCTTCCCCAGAGAGGCCGAGACCCAGAAAGCGCCCGGCCCTTCTCTGCCCGCGCAGCTGGGTTACTCCCCGCACATGTGGGCTGATTACCGCAGTTTTTACAAGACTGAGGACTACGTGAGCGAACGACCCAGCGAGGCCCTCCCGTGCCTTGTGCTTCTAGGGGCGTCTGTAATGCGCGCCCTCGGGGCACTGACGCCGGAACGGGGCCCGGAGCTGCTGACCTACCTGGGGCAGGGCTTGAACCACCGTGTCCAGCAGAGCCCGCATGCCTGTGGCCATCTTGAGCAGCTTCAGCACTAAGGCCAGGAGCCGAGCATCAGTAGGGGGCATGGGGCCTAGGCCGGTCCAACCCTCCTTTGCTGGGGGAGACCCTGGGCCACCCCCAACCCTTACACTCCCCGTCCCCCACACAGTCCCCAGGCGGATGCTGCAGGGTGAGCAGAGGAAGGACGCCGGGCCTGGGCTGTGAAGCCCAGCAGCAGGGCCCTCCACCAGCCTTGGGGCAGCAAGGAAGGACAGGCGGGTCGCCTACCGCGGGCGATGCGGAGCACGCGCATGATGCGGATGATGGTGGGGTTGATGGGCAAAGCTGCGTTCATCTCGATCTCCTCCAGCGTGATGCCCATGATGGACAGCAGCACGATGGCCAGGTCCAGCTGGTTCCACCTGGGGCGGGTAGTGGGCGGGCTGAGCGCCTCCGTCCTGCACCCCGGGCACATCCCTCGCCACTACACTGGCCGGCCCGGGGGAGGAGGGCTGTGGCTCTCAGGCGGCACCCCCTGCCGAGGCTTCTCCAGGCCCTGGCGCCTGCCCCACACACCTGTCCTTGAAGAACCTCCGGAACCCAAAAGCCACGAGCTTCAGCATGGCCTCAAAAACGAAGACGATGGTGAACACGTAGTTGCAGTACTTGAGAGCCTCGTCCAGCGACTGCGAGCAGAGAGCCAGGCTGCGGACGGAGGCTCCCGGCCCGCAGCGCCTGTGTCCTGGTCAGCCTGCCCCACCTCTCCTCTGCGTGTGGGGCTGGGGCAGGCCTGTGAGGTGTGGCCTGTGTACCATCACAAGGAGGTACCCTTGTGATGTTCTGAGCCCTCATGTGGGGGACACCTACTGCTCCTGGCGCAGACCCCCGGCCCCACCTCGACCGGGCCCCCACCCACAGCCCGGGGCGGGGCCATGCCAGACCCAGCGGAGACCACTCCCTTCCTCTGCTGGGGGAGAGTGGCGTCCCTTCTTCAAGACACAATGAGGACACAGACACAATGGGGGTAAAATAAAAAGCTAACCACCTTCCACCTGCCCGCCCCCTGCCCAGCTTGCTCCTGGGCAGGTGGACTCACGGATGTTCCTACAGCCAGTGTTTCCAGACTGAACCACTGTGGGGAGGGCGCTCCAGGGTACGGGGCCCTCGGAGTTTCAACCAGTTTTAAAAAAAGGACACTTTGCTCAAACCACAGCTTCATGTACCCTGTAAACCCCAGGGAGGGCTCGGACCAAGCTGCAGACGCAGGACACCCCACTGAGCACCAAACCCACCTAGGTCCACCCCCTCCCTGCCCCGGGGCTTGTGTCCCCGTGGCCGGTCCTGGAGGCAGGCTGGGCGGGCATTTCCAGGGGCCGAGCCCCACCTTGGGCTGGTTGTAGTGTTCCATGGACATGGTGATGACGTTGACCCCGATGATGAAGGTGATAAAGAGATCAAGATAGTGGCTGGTGCACAGCGAGTGGATGGAGCGGCGGGTGGGCGAGTAGTCGGCATAGTAGGGCCGGCGCTGGGCCTCTGCGGGGAGAGGGTGTCCGTGAGCTGGGGTGGGGGCTGCCTGCGCCCTGGTGGCACTGGGATGTCCTTGCTCGTCTGCCGGGAGGCTGCAGCGCGGGGACTGCTGGGGGAGGGCCCTAGGCTCAAACACAGGGCGCTCGCCTGAGCCTGGAGGAAATAATTTCTCCCAGGAAGGGGGGCCCCTTCTAGGAAAGAAGCGGCTCCCAGGCAGTTCAGCTCCTGTTGCTGGCTGGGACCACAGGCTGGGGGGCAGGGCAGGAGTGGGTCTCAGGAGCAGGTCGCCGTCTGATCTCCTGGGGGCTCTGGCCCAGGACAGGTGCTAGGCATGGGCCAGGCAGCTGAGACCCCACCTGGCCCTGCTCGGTCCCCACCCTGCCAGGTGCTCCCGAGCTGGCCCTTGTGGTCCACTCTCCTGGGCTCACGGCAGGGCGCAGACATGCTGAGAACGAAGACTGAGCAGACAGGGGCCTTCCTGGGGGCAGGGCCAGTCCCATCCCCAGCCCCGGTGGTCACAGGGCAGGGCGGCCCATGCCCCGGCTCCATCTCAGTCTGGACATGAGCTGCCCCCGGTCACCAGGCCCACAGTGTCTCCCCTCCTTGTCCTCCAAGAGACCAGTGGCCACTGCCTGTTGTCTGGGCTCTGCCGGACCTCTGGTCCATCTGACGATGATGGCCATGACCTGGGGAGGTCCTGCACCCCCCAACGGTTCTGCCTGCACTAAACGTTCTGTCTGCAGTAACTCCTTTAGAGCTTGTCAAAGTCCACTGAGCACTGGGTCAGGGCGCAGCTGCCATCGCTGGACACGGGGACACGCCTGGGCCACAGAGTCCTGCACAGGCAGTGCCCAGGGTGGCAAGAGCTAGGGCTGCCCTGGCCAGCTGGCCCAGGGCCTGGGAGGACAGGGGCTGATGGGGACCAACCCCTCCCTGGGACCCTCATGCCCCTTGGGCTGGTGTGCATCACTGAAGAACTGGGCTCAGCTCATAAAGCCGGGGGCCAGCAGCCCATCAGGTCAGGCCAGTGCCGAGGATGCGGAGCAGCTGCAACCGGGCAGGTGTCCCAGAATGCAGCGGACCAGCCATGCGTGCAGCCAGGCAGAGGGGCAGGCCCGAGCTCGGAAGCAGCAGCACCGACACTGGGCAGGTGAGCCAGCAAATCCTCTCCCCTCCCACCGAAGCCTGGCGCCCACCCCAGCCATTTTGTGCCCGCCCGGCAAGGGACCCCAGCAGGCCTGGCACCAGCCTGCAAGGTCCACCCCTCCCCACACAGCCACGGAAGAACCGAGGCCAGGCCAGCCCACAGCCCCATGCGCTGGTTGGCAGAAGCAGGGGGGCTGAGACATGCACGGCGGGGGTGGGGGCAGATACCTGGGCTGGGGAAAGTGCCTGGAAAGACAAGGAGATGGTCTGAGCTGGCCTCGGGGGGGTGGGGCGAGAACACTCCACGCGGGGCAGGCTGGGTGGGGACATTTAGCAGGTCCCTCCCTGCCCCCCGTCAGACGCACTCCTTGCCCACAAGCCGGCTGGGACTTCCCTAAGACCCTGTCTAACTCTGATGGCTTTACTTGCTCTTCCTGTGGTGTGAGAACCCTCACGGGCGTGAACCTGCCCCACAGCCACGGGCAGTGAAAAGTGGGGGTCTCATTCACGTCCTGTTCTGTTTGGGAGGAGACCCCTGCCTCCTGCTGTGCGGCCCTCCCCTGCCCTGGCTCCTCCTCCGGACGCCCCAGTGCAGACAATCAGGGAGGGGACTCCAGGCCTGCCGTGCACGCACAGATGCTGCCTGAGTGCCCACCACACCCACGGGCAAGGGAGGCCGGGGCCAGGCTCGGGGCCGGGAGCCCGCCTCTCGGCTGGACCCGGGTCCCACAGGCACGGGGCTCGCGCAGGTGGAAGGGATGACTCTCCCTCCCCCCCACCGCCGCCCCGAGAGCGCCTTACTCCTGCGTTTTCGCTCCAGCCGCCGCTGCCGCTTCTCCTCGCGCCGCCGGGCCTCCTCGGCCTCCTGGTGCTGCCGGCACTTGTGGAAATTCTCCACCACGACGCCCACGAACATGTTGAGCACAAAAAAGCTGACGATGAGCAGGAAGGAGATGAAGTACAGCAGCATCCAGGGGTTGTGGTTGGGCACGGGCTACGGCACACAAGTGACATGTGGGTGCCCGTCCCCCAGGCCCCTCTTCCCAAGGGTGGCATGTGCAGTCCGAGGTCATAGATGGGGCCCCGAGAGAGATGGCTGGAAATTCTAAGGCTGCAAACAAGCCTCTTGAGGAGAGGTTCCTTGACATGTCCTAGAAGACAGGGACCAGTGGGTCCCCACCACCCTCTGTACCTGCTGGTCTATGCCCACGGCGTCCAGCCCGTCGTACATGATGTTCACCCAGCCGTCCTTGGAGGACAGCACAAACAGGGACATCAGCGCCTGTGGGGTCAGAACAAGGCTGGTCACCCCAGCTCTGCCTCCACCCAGAGACGCAGAGGGACCACACCATCCCGCTGATGACCGTGGTTCCAGTTTCCCAGAGGAGGAGCCACACGCGCCCCTTCCCCACCCGCCCCGCCCCCACCCCCGGCCCCGCCCACCTGGCCCAGGTTGTCGAAGTTGTACTTGCGCCGCACCCAGCGGTAGTGCGCGGCCCGGCACTCGGCCTTGGTGGAGATGTTCCTGGTGTCAGCGCCTTCGCAGTAATAAAACTTCCCTTTGAAGAGCTGACCAGGGTGCGGAGGTCACCCCGCGGGCCAGGTCCTGTGCCCCCGGCCCACCAGACCTGCCCCCACACGACCATCTCCGGGCTGCCAGGCTGCTGCGGACCACAGACCACAGGGCCACGGCCGGGCCACCCGTGGGCAAGCGGGACGCGCACCTGCACCCCCAGGATGCCGAAGATGATGAAGAAGGCGCAGCAGATGAGCACGATGTTCCCGATGGGCCTGAGTGACGATATCAGAGTCTCCACCACCAGCTTGAGGCCCGGAGCACGGCTGATGACCCTGGACGCAGAGCAGAGGCCCATCCCTGATCGCAGCCCCCAGCCCTCCCGGGGCGGGGGGCATACCCCCCACCTCCCGGAATCGCAGCCCCGCCTCGCACGCCCCCGCCCCACCCACCTCAGGGGCCGCAGCGTCCGTAGTAGACGCAGCACGCGCAGGATGCCCAGGATCTTGGCGCCACCGGCTGAGGCCATGGCTACGACGATGTCGACCAGGGACACCAGGACCAGCAGCCCATCCAGCACATTCCAGCTGCTCTGCAGGTAGGCGTGCTCGCCGGAGACCAGGCCCAGGGCCACCACCTGGGAGGCGCAGAGGAGGGGGAGCCCAGGTGTGGTGGGGGGTGGGGGGAACGAGCACAGAAGGTGGGGGCTGGACGGGGGTTCCTCCCGGGCAGGCCGGTACCTTCACCATCATCTCGGCCACGAAGATCGCTGTGAAGATGTAGTTGGAAACGCTGAGGAAGACGCGCTCCTGCAAGCACAGAGCGGTGGGCGGGGCCGGTCGTGCCCCCTTGGCCCCGCCCTCACCCCCACGCCCCAGGGCAGTAAGGGCGCCTCACGGTGCTGCCTGGGTCGATGTCGGGCCTCTCTAGGGCAATGGTGACGCAGTTGAGGAAAATGAAGACCAGGACCACATGATCGAACATCTTGTGAGCGATGATCTTCTGGCAGGAGACCCGGAACCTGGACGGTGGGGCGGGGCAAGTGAGATGCGGGGGCCGGGGACACTGACCCAGGGGGCAGAGTCGGCTCCATGCAGGCCCCCCCCCCCGCTGTGCCCCTCACCTGTTCTGCGGAGAGAAGAGGTACAGGGCCCAGGGTTCGCGGCTGCGACACCACGCGGGCTTGTAGGGTTCCAGCACCTTGTGCAGGCGCAGGCAACAACTCTAGGGGAGAGGGGTGCAGGTCCTCAGGGCCCTCTGGGCCAAGCCAGCCACCATCCAGCTGCCTCTGGGGTCCCAGCTGTCCCAGCCTCATCTTTCCCACCCGGGCACTGAGAAAGACCCACATGGGGAATCCACGGAGAACCCCCCACCGCCCAAGCCGACCCCCATCCTGCAGAGCTGCCCTGGACAAGGGGAGTGCCTCTCTGAGGGAGCCCTGCCCTGCCCTTCTCTGCATCTGGGGAGCTCCCTTGGGCGGGAGGCTGGGTCCACCCTGGGGTGAATCTGCTCCAGAGCTCCCCGTGGATGAGCTAAGGCCACGTGGCCTGTATCAAGTGCCGCTCAGCCTGTCCTGCTCCCCCGCCCCTGACCTGGGGTACATGAGACCCCACGCAGGGCATGTCCCCAGTCCCGGCCTCTGGTTTGCTTTACAGAAAGAGTCCGTGACAGGAAGCAGGCATGGGGATGGGCCTCCTCCACTCACATCCTCCATGTCATCGTCAAACTCGGCCGGATCCTCCTTGTGGCTGTCGATGCGCAGGAAGAACTCACTGGGCAGGGCCAGCACCTGCCCGTTACAGTCGTGGAACTTGGTGGGCAGCAGTGTGGCTGGCCGTGGGGGCCGCAGGTCCAGGGTGCTGCGGTGGTCCAGGGACTCGGTGCGCCGCAGCGGGACGGGGCGTGTCCCCGGAGAGGCCTCTGCCCCGGGCCTGCTGTCCTCCGCCTCCTCGTCCGTGCTACCCTTGCCCTCCCCGGACAGCAGAGACTCACGCTCCCCGCACTGGCTCCGCCGCTTGAGGCTGGGTGCGCGGCCCAGGCTGTTCCAGCTCGAGCGCCGGCTGCTCCGGGCACTGTTGGGGCCCCAGTGGGCACAGGGCGAGCTTCGGAGGCTGGACTGTGTGGGGGGTGAGGAGTGAGCAGGGACAGCCCTCCAAATTCCCCCACACATCCTGGGCCCTGGCCACAGGGGCCTCTCCTGACCAGTGGCATTACTATTAACACCGTGGGTGGCACCTGCACAGGGGTCACCTCCTTTACTGCGCAGATGACCCTACCAGTGAGCAGCCAGCGACACATTTCCACGGCACACCTGTGGCCCAAAGCCCGTCCCCAGTGAGTTAGAGACGCAGGCAGCAAGTGTCCGAGGGCCGAGCCAGGCTGCGGCTGGCCACCTGCAGCCGTCGTGGGCTGGAGGGCCGGCGCAGGTGCTTATCCACGAGCCTGGGACCAGCCTCGGACCAGGCGTCCTCAGACACTGTCCCAGTGGCTGGGGTGCGGGGGCCCAAATCTGCTCCTAACTGGCAGCGCTTGGGACTTGTAAAGACAAACTGAGCTGCTGTCTCAGGAGAGACAGGGATTGACCTCTGCTGCCTCATCCTTCCTGCCCTCATTCACTTGCCCTCCCGGGGCCAGCATGGGCTGGGCTTCCCCCCGCCACACCGCCTGTCCCCCACCTTGGTCCCCAGCAGCTGGGGTGGATGCATCTATGCTGCTCAGCCCCGCGGCTTCTCTGTTACAGACATGCAACGTCCTGTCTCCGTGTCCACACCCCCCACCCCCAGCTTCCCCTGGGCGGTGAGTTCCCCACCCCCACTGGCCCACCCTCCCCGCCTTAGAAGCTGCAGTGGGCCGTGTGCTGGGGCGGCATCTCCTGGGTCCGCGTGGAAAGCCCCGTGGCGCTGGCTCTGTGGGATGCGCGCCGGCTTCTGTCACGGGCCGCCTTTCCACCGTCCCTTTCCTTGCTCCTTTGATGCACGCTTGTGCTCTGCCAGCTTTTATCTTTTATTCCCATTTGGAAGAGAAACTCCCTGCCTGGCGTTCTGCTGGAAAAGGGCGCCACGCGTTCCCACATCTGCTCTGCTTACGCTCCTCCCGCAAGAGCGGCAGCTCCTGGCTCCATTTATAGAAAAACAGAGCGCTAGCCTCCTTCAATCGGGGACAGGGATTTGTGCAGTGTGACTGGGGGGCGTGCGGGACCCACACTCATCCGTGGGAGAGGCCACGAGGACCGGGCGAGTGGGGTGCCCTGAGGCCGGGGCAAGGAAGGGTCCCTACCAGTGACTTCTGGTCGCCCAGCTGCGGGTCCACAGAGCTGCTGCTGCCACGCCGTGAGTCCAGGAGGCCGGGGACCAGGTCCAGGTGTGGGGAGCTCTTGGGGGTGGGCATGGGCGTGGCTGCCGTGCGCATGATGACGGGAGGGGGCAGGCTGCCGCGGCCCTCCAGGTGCCCGTTGGGGGTCACGGCCAGCGAATACATCTTCATCTCTGGAGTGAGAAGGGGGAGGCTGGTACCTGCAGGCTTCCAGGAAGGGACTCCGCCGGCCCAGAGCCTGCCCGCGGGAGTCCCAGCGCCACCACCAGCCCCAATGCCCACACGCTCACCCGTGGCCCGGAGATCCCGGAACTTGTCAAAATCCTCCTCCAAATGGGTGGATGTCTTGTCTTCGTCCGTGTCGGATCTGTTGGCGTCGCCCTGCGCCCCGCAGAGCGGGAGGCACAGCTCCCTCAGGTGGGACCCATCCATACCCAGCACCCACGGGTGGAGTCCCCAGGGAGGGCTGGGCCAGCCTGGAGGCAGGCGTGGCCGGGAGGGCTGGGCCCCGAAGTGACCGCCAGGGCCAGGTGTGGTGGCTGCAGGATGGAGGAACCCACCCTCCCTGTGGCAGTCTGGGCGGGACTCCCACCCCTCACCTCTGCCTGGAAGCCCTCCACCAGGATGGCCACCAGCAGGTTGAAGAGCACATAGTTGCCGAAGGTCATCAGCGCCACGAAGTAGAGAGCAGCCCAGGAGGAGGTGGAAGCCATGCCATTGTAGAGGACGACATTCCAGTCCTCCTGGGTGAGGATCTGGGGGGAGGGGCCGTGAAGCAGGGAGAGCCCCAGACCAGGGGAGAGGGGGCGCCGGCAAGCCCGAGGGTGGCAGGGATTCTGCAGGGCATCCCCCCATGCCGGCCTCACAAAGGTCAAGGCACACACTCGGGGGCTGCTTGGAGCAGGATGTTGGTTCTCCTGGGGACCCCCATTCCCATCAGGGATGCCCGCCCAAACTTTACCTGGAACACAGTGACAATGGCCCACAGCAGGGAGTCAAAGTTCTTCCTGTCAGGGACCGTGTCTCCGGTGTCTGTCGTCAGGCTGAACTTGCAGCCAAAGAGGTGCATGCCCAGGATGCTGAGGGCAGAGCAGGGTGTGTGATTTCGGGGAGGGGTGCAGGGAGGCAGACAGCAGATGAAATGCCGCATAGTCACCTCCACACCCAGGGACTGCTCTGCCATGCCTTCCCCACTGGCCTGGCCCCAGCCTTCCGGTTTACAGGGCCTTCCTCCTGGCGCCCAGGGCCCAGCTGTTTCCAAATGGTTGGTGGGGAGACAGGCTGGGGTGGGAGGGACCCAGGATGCCGGTCTCACTCCGCCTCCTGGGCCGTTCTCTGCCCCAGCCCATCCTTGGGGCTTGACCCCAGGCCAGGCTGGCCAACAGCGGGCACTCAGCACATACCAGCTGAGGGCTATGGACTTGGGCCTGGCTGCCCTCGCCCCTTCTCTGCTCTCTTTGGGGCAGTCCCCGACCCATTCATTTGGGGGCCTGTCCCGTCCCCCCATTCAGCTGTGAGCACACAGAGGGTGCCAGCCAGTGACAACTGCACGGAGCCATCCGTCCATGACGGAGCCTCTGTAGACACTTGGGGGCTCCTGCCCCCCAGCACCCAGCCCCAGGAGCATGGGGCAGTGCCGTGGGGGGAGTCCGCCCCTCTCGGCGGGGCAGCCCACCTGAAAATGAAGATGAAGAGCATAAGCAGCATGCAGAAGGTGGCCACGTTGTCCATGGTCTTCATGAGCACCACCAGCTGACGCCGCAGCGCAGGCATGAAGCGCACCAGCTTCAGCACACGCAGCAGCCGGAAGGTCCGCAACACCGACAAGCCGCCGTCCGCCTGTCCAATAATCTCCCAGACGCTGCGGGCCAGGGCGGGGGTCAGCAGGGGTCTGTCCTCTGGCCACAGGTCCCTGTGCATCCCCTTCCCAAAGCAAGGATGCCGGCCAGAGCCACGGCGGCCCGCCTCGACCCCGTGGCCGAGAAGAGGTGCAGCTGTGTCCAGGCACCCAGGGGGCTGAGGGACCGTGGCGGTGTCACCAGAGCCCGCTAGTTAACTGCCGTCCCTGGTGGCTGCCGACCCCCCGAAGCTGCCAGAATTCAGGCTCTGGCCTTCCCCATCCTGTGCCTAGCCCCCTCGCTGCTGGGGGAACCCCTGCACTCCAAGGGCCCTGCTTCCTCCTGGGGGACAGTTACCCCAGATTCTCCCACTGCTTTGTGTTGATTTGGCTGCAGCAGACGCCCCACAGGCGAGCTTGCCTGCCTCGCAGGGGCTGAGACCTACGTGACCTCCAGCTGCGTGGCTCAGCGCCTACTCTGTTCCTGCAGGGAACAGCTCCCCTATGTTCTAAAAACATCTGAGATGCAGCAGACCACGTGTAAGTGGCAGTGGGGAGGAACTTGGTCCCAGGGAGGGGACTCCACCCGTGATAGCCTGTCTCTGACTGGGGCTCAGCGCCCTGGGGGGGTGTTCGCCTGACACTGGAGCTTCCCGGGCCCCTGAGGCCCAGGCGGGAGATGGGGGACCACCTGATAACCACAATGATGCCGTCAAAGATGTTGTAGGGGTTCCGAATGTAGCCCAGCGGGCCGCAAGCCAGCAGCTTCAGCAGCATCTCCAGGGCGAACATGCTGGTGAACACGATGTTGCTGATCTCCAGGGCACTGGTCAGCTCGTCGGGCTGTGGGTAGCAGGGAGGCCGTCAGTGGACAAGGCTCACTGCTCCCAGGAATCCAGGAGCAGGTAAGGCTCCATGGAGGCGGCCGCTCAGAAGCAACCTAACCGGATGCTGCCTGGACCGTTGCCCACCCAGCGTGCCCACCCCGGCTGTCCTGGCTCCCTGGGCCCTGCCGGACTTGCCCAGTGGCGTGGCTGAGCACCAGAGCAAGTGCGGGCCATGGGAATTGGGCCGGGAGCACTTGCTCCCGGGTTCCAGGGTGGGCATGGGGGAGCCCAGGGTACAGACGGCACGGGTGCTGCCTCTGATCCACTGCCCTGGTCCCTGCTGGCCTCACACGCCCCTTCCTGGTGGTACACGCTCCAGGAGCCTTTCTTACTGAGGCATTGCTGACTCACCTGTGTGTCTGCACGTGTGTGCATATACACACCACGCTAATGTAAATATTCCCATGCATGTGTGCACGCCTGAGCATTTACCAACATGTGACCTGCTGTGTGCACACACATGTGCGCCTGTCCGTGTGCACGCATACCAGCTCACGCACATCTGCATCAGCAAACCTTGCACATACACACACGTACGTGACAGAATACACATGGATGCGTGCATGTGCACACATTGTGTATACGTGCACAGGCTCTTCCTTACCGGGGACTCCCCTAAAGCCTCCCGATGTCCCTGCCTCGGCTGCCCCCCCAAAAAAGAGCCTCCTCACACAAAGCCTGCTGAAGTTTACCACTGCTTGCATTTTCCCCAGATTGTTCCAGAGTGAAAAAAATCGTTTAAGTGGCCAGAAAAATCCAAGAGTGGGACACAAGGAACCCCCATTTGGTCACCAAAGGTGACCCAGCCTGGTCCCCAGAGAGGACCCCCTCTCTCTGCTGAATCTGGCCGCTGCCCTCCCTGCTGGGCCCTGATCCAGGGCAGGGGTTGAGGAGGGCCAGCATGCACGGTCAACAGCTTCCACGGCTGCAGGGGGGCCAGACATGACCCCCCACTTCCTCCTGGGGGCCACTCCACACTCCGGCCTTTTGTAACCGCCAAGGAGCATCACAGTGGGCATGGCCAGTGGTCTTGGCTCTTGTAAGGGGAGCCCCTCTATGAGAACAAAGCCGGGGTGTCCCATCCTTAGAAGCACCACTGGGTGGAATGTCCTTAGCCCCTGGTGCCTCTAGGTCTGTGTGGCCTCCTCGGACCCCAGGTGGGGAAGAACCTGCACACGAGAACCACACCATGTGTGTCTGTGTTCACTACTTGACAGAGACCCAGCCCACGAAGGAGCCGTGAGCATCTGTCGAGGAACAGACAAAAACCTCCTGTGGCAGACCACACCCAGCTCCAACCCGTCCCTGGCCCCCGACCCCCGACCCCTGTGAGCCCATCCACGGGGTCCCATAGGAGGACGTGCTCCCCAGGGTCATGAGGACCATCCTGACCCGCCCCCACCCTCACCTGCTCGTGGTACTCGACGCCCATGCTCAGAGTGTTGGTGAGGATGGCCACCATGATGCCGCGGTTAAAGTACTTGCTGTCCACGATTCGGCATAGCTTGCCACTGAAGGTGGCCCAGACGTGGCCAAGCCCGCCCTGCTTGCCCGGGGCCACCCGACGCTGCGCCCGCAGCCGCGCACTGCCCCGGCCTGGTACGTCCGCCGCCGGGGGGGACTGCATGGGGTCGCGGTGGTCACCGTGCCGCACATCCTGTGTGAACTCATACACCGCGTTGCCTTCTGAGCCTCCGCTCTCAGAGTCGCTGAGCTCGAAGTTGGGGTCGTCCAGGGCACTGGTGCAATACGGACAGTTCTTCAGCTCGCAGGTCAGCGTGCCCGCCTGGGGGCTGGGCAGGGGGCAGGGCACGCTCAGGCCCGACAGGCGGCTGGGTGCCCGGCCCAGGCCTGCAGGGAGAAGGGCACAGGCAGGGTCAGGCCACAGCCAAGTGAGGCTTCCGTGGGGTAAGTGGTGCATGCGTGCGCACCCATGGCAGAGACGCTTAATCTGCCTGCAGCCGCGCCATCAGCGCCAACCAAAGAAACGGGACGCGAGCCCTTTTCTTGTACCCACGTTCGACAGGTGTAATTAACTTCGCTGCTCTACCCGACCCAACATGTCTGAACCATTGCGGCTCTGACACCCGAGAGACGCAAAAACTACCCAGGAGCCACCATACACAGTTTTCTGGTGTGGAGTCTCTGGAACCAGAGATGTGTCTCACGCCAACGCCATGCCATGGCCCCAACGCGCCACAGCTCCCGAGCTCTATGGAGCAGGCCGGGCTGGAAGCGGGCCGGCCACACACACCCCTGCCTGCTCCAGATGAACCGTGGCCTGCGCCCCTGCACACACCACCCGGGAAGGCCTCAAGGTCTGATGGGACCTAGCATCCCTCCAGTTGCCCATCTTAGGGGGGTGCAGCTGAACCCCAGGTGGGGGGGACCATGAGTATATCGAGGCACACCCTGGCCCCTTCCCAGACCCTCAGGGGCTCTGTGACCCGTTTTACGTTCTGCACCCTGTGCCCCAGCATCCCCACCTAGAAAGGGGGCCAGCCACAGACACGGGTGTGTGGTCTCTCCTGGGGCCAGGTGGGCCAACGGGACACAGGCCAGAGGCTCTAACGGGGTTTGTCTTGGAATTCTCCTACCCTTGTTGGCAAAGGCTGTGTCTCGCTCACATTGGGGCTGCTTGGGGCTGGCTGTAGGGTGGAAGGAGACCCGGTGCCCTCTCTCCAGGCCAGCGGTGTCAGAGTCCAGGATGCCCGGGCCCCCCCAACTCCCTTCTTACAGGGCTCAGAAGGAGAAAGGGAAAAAGTGGGCTCATCGAGGTACTCAGGTCCTCCCTGGAGAGCACGCGAGCGTCAAAGACACCCCAAGAGTCCCGTTTCCTCATGGCTCACCCAGCCCAAGTCCCACCTCCTCTCCACGGGTGGGGGGTGGGTCCTTACCGTGTTCCCCGACCAAATGCTGGATCTTCTCATAGGGGTCGGTGCCCCTCAAGCTCAGGGGGCTGTGCTCTCCGGTGCCTGGAGGACCGCTGACCCGCTTCCCCTTGGGCCCAGGGCCGGTATCACCTTTACCACCCCCTACGGACGAGGGCAGGATGGTGGGGTAGTTCATGGCACCCAGCCCCGTGGCCACCTTGAGGCTGGCGGCTGCCGTGGCCGTGGTGTGTGCCACCCGGGCCCTCTCTTGTGGCCCCTCCACGTGGCAGTCTGCATGGTACACACTGTGCACCGACTCAGCATCAGGGGGCCCACGGCCTGGCGAGGGCGGCGAGGGCAAGGCCCCAGCCGGCACCAGCCTGGTGTCCCCAGGGCCGGGCTCGGGGCTGGGCCGGCGTGGGCTGCCGTGGCTGAAGTGGTAGTGGTGGTGGTGGTGGTGGTGGTGGTGGTAGACCAGGTGGTGCACAGAGGCCGTGTGCCTCCCTGCCCGCCTTGGCCGGCGCCCGGGGCCCTGGCTGTGCGGGGCGCTGCTGGGGTCCACCTTCTTGCACCAGCGGCTCTGCCAGCGAGCGCAGAGGCGCAGTGTGCGCCTCTTGACCTTGCGGCAGATGTGGCCCACGTATTTGAGCAACTCCTCGTAGCAGCTGCCCGGCTCCGAGAAGCTAGCCAGCGTGCTGTCGTTGGACAGATACCGCGCGCGCTGCTCCCGCATGAGCTGGTTCTCCCGCTGCTTGGTCTCCGAGAACTGCGTGGCGATCACCACCAGGCACAGGTTGATCATGAAGAAGGAGCCCACCTGCAGCAGGCGGGCAGCGGTGAGCCTCCCGTGGCCCAGCCGCGACTCACTCGCAGGGCTGCTAACCCAGGGAGCTGGGGAAGAGGGTCGCGGGGTGTCAGGGGCAGGCGGGGCGGGCAGTGGGGGCGGGGCTGCTTCTAACACGGCAGTGACCAACTCTCCGAGGGAACACTGAGCCCTACTGCACGCTGCCTGTTCTCAGGGCCAGGGGCAGGCGCCCCAGGATGGTGGGGTCCCTGCTGGTGTGAAGCCAAATGTCAGCACCTACCATGGGCAGCTCGAAGTAAGTATTGCTTGTCCATCTGGACAGCCCACGTGTGAACAGTGGGGAACACACAGGGCGGGGATGGTCGGGAAACCCTTCTTCCCGTCATCTATATGGCTCGCCCCCTCCCCCCAGGGCAGACCTTCCCAAGCCCCTTGGCTTCACTTCTTCCGTGCAGGGTCACCCTCCAACACTCTGCTCGTGGTCAGAAACAAGAAGGCAGGATACCTGTCTCTGTTCACAGTGGGGTCCTCGCAGACCCTGGCTGTGACACCTCCGTGTCTAGAGGCCCACGTACACCGTGGAGGGCTGTGCGTGGCGGAGGAACCTACACTACAGAGACCCATGCCTTTGAAGTGACCTGTCCTGTGCAGGGCTGTGTCTGCAGGCCCATGAACAGTGGGGAGGGCTGGGACCCCAAGACATGGTCCTGCGTCTTCTGCAGCCTCCAAACAGGACCTGGTCGTGGGAGGGCTTGGGGTGCTGCCTGAGGCCTTTTGGAGGTGGGCTTCCCCCCCAACTATCTCCTGCTGGGGGCCGGGCAGAAGTCCCTTGCCACCCCGTGGCAGCCCTGGCTCTCTGCTGCCCCACCCTGCAGCTCAGCCGGCACAGCAACACTGAGAGTCAGTGGAGGCTGGGAGGGCGTGGTGTCAGGGGCATGACAACGCCCACCAACAGGGGACTTTTGGGTCTGTGGCCAGCTGTCCCGCTGTCAGGGTACCTCCACCCACAGACACTGGTGGCCGTGAACACCCCGCCCAGCCCCTGGGACTCGCCCCGTCGCCCGCACTCACAATGATGAGCAAAATGAAGTAGATGAAGTTGTAGAAGGAATGAGCATCCATGACGTAGTACATTATGTCCACCCAGCCCTCCAGCGTGATCACCTGGGGGGGCAGGCGGCTGCACACACGGACGGCCCTGGGAGGGTGGCAGGGGCCTCCTCGCCTGCGTCCCCCCGCAGCCCCGCCCATGCAGTGCTCTCCCACCCCCGCTGATGGGGAAACTGAGGCCCAGGCCCTCAGCCGGAGAGCCGGGACCCACCTGGAAGATGGCGATCCAGGCATAGCCAATGTTGTCGAAGTTGATGGCGCCGTTGTGGGGGTTGGAACCGCCTGAGCGGCACACGTTGTAATACTGGTTCCAGTTGATGCAGGCGTTGCGGGCGGCGCCAGCCACACCGTCGGCCTGAGGCTGCCCGTAAGCCTCCCAGCCCAGCGTGCACTCCACGCGCAGCTCCCGGCGACTGGGGATGTGCGAACACTTCTGCATGCCGTTGTCTCGGCGCGAGGAGCAGATGAACGGGTTCTCCTCGCCCTCCTCCGTCTGGTAGTACGGCCGCAGGAAGCTGAGATTGTTGTTTCTGCAGGCAGGCAGGAGATACACACCCGGAGAGGGATGCAGAGACGAGAAAAAGTAACAGATACACAAAGAAATGCAGACACACAGAAACAGAGAACGTGAAATACAGAGTTGGGAGAGAGATAAATAGAAACGGCAAAATGAATTAGCAGAAAAAGAGAAGCACACGTAAAAACAAAACAAAGAAACAGAAACAGACCCAGAAGACAAAACCTCAGTTAAGAATATTCTGAGAAGAGTGCCTCCCTAGAAGTGAAGCTGGAGCAGAAGAGCCTGCTGAGGGTGGAGCATCTTGGGTGGACCTGGAGGGGGGTAGCCTGCTGAGGGCGGAGCATCTGGGGTGGACTTGGAGGGGAGGAGCCTGCTGAGGGCGGAGCATCTGGGGCGGACCTGGAGGGGAGGAGCCTGCTGGGGACGGAGAATCTGGGGTGGACTTGGAGGGGAGCAGCCTGCTGGGGGCAGAGCCTGCTGGGGTGGGGCTGGAGTGGAGGAGCCTGCTGAGGACGGAGCATCTGGGGTGGACCTGGAGGGGAGGAGCCTGAGGGCGGAGCATCTGGGGTGGACCTGAAGGGGAGGAGCCTGCTGAGAGTGGAGCATCTGGGGCAGACCTGGAGGGGAGGAGCCTGCTTGGGGCGGAGCATCTGGGGTGGACTTGGAGAGGACCCTGCTGGGGGTGGAGCCTACTGGGGTGGGGCTGGAAGAGGAGGAGCCTGCTGAGGGTGGAGCACCTGGGGCTGGAGGAGGGGAACATGAGGAGGTGGTGCTGGAGGGGAGGAGCCCGCTGGGGGCAGAGCATCAGGGGTTGGTGCTGCAGGGGAGGAGCCTGCTGGGGGCAGAGCATCAGGTGTTGGTGCTGGAGGGGTGGAACATCAGGGGGTGGGGCTGCAGGGGAGGAGCCTGCTGGGGGCACAGAGGCCAGAAGAGCCCTTAGGCCCCGCACCTGGCAAAGGTGCTGTCCAGGAAGCAGCGGTTCCGAAGCAGGCCGGCCCACAGCTGTACGCCGACGATACCAAAGATGAAAAAGACAAAGAAGCAGAGCAGAAGGACATTCCCGAGCATGGGCAGAGTGTCCAGCAGCAGCGTGACCAGGATCCGCATGCCTGCAGGGGCAAGGAAAGAAGTCAGCACAGCACAGCCCTCCCGGGGCTCCTTCTAGCCTCCCGCCCCTCTGGTGGGCCCTGAGCCCTCCTGCTGTTCACACATGGGTATCAGCAACTCCAAGGGGGACTTGTACTGAGTCCCCACACATTCGGCAGGGCCTGAAGGAGTCCCAATAGCCCCAGCCTCAGGGCCCCCCAGGAGTTCAGGCTTTGGGCTGCCTCCAACACTCAGGAGCCTGGGGTCTTACAAGGAGAATTTCTTCCCATGCCCTGTGTGAATTGCACTGGAGAAGAGCCCTGCACTGGAGGGAGGGACCCTCAGGGCAGGTGGCGGTTTTTTGAGAGGCAGTTTTGAAGCCCTTGTGCCTGGGTGCTGGATTAATGCAAATTAATCTGGGAGTGGGTCAGCCAAGCCCTATGTGCCCCCCACTTACCTGGGCATATCTCCTCCCAGACCTCAGCAAGGATGACTCCTTTCCCCAGAGGAGCAAGGGCAGGGCTTAGGCAGCACACCGCACCCTGGGCCAGGGGGTGGGGAGGGGGCAGGTGCGAGGCCTCAGGGAGCAGCACCCCGGGGAGGGGGAGTGCACGGCACATGGCAGAACAGGCCCCTGGGGTCACGGGGGGCGAGCCACAGCCAGGAGCGGCACTGAAGTATCAGAAATGGCTGAGAGGAAGATTCACGAGGGATGCACGGGATCAGAAGGCACTTGCCCTGGGCAGATATCAGCTGGCTTAAAGGGTCACAGATACGATCCAGGGGTCAGAGTGGACCCCAGGCACCCAGGGAGATGCAACCCTGAGTGTGACCATTTGGGACTCATTATAAGGAGCATCCGATCCTGTCCAGGGCAGGCTCCCTATTTGGGACAGTGGGGTGTCCCCAGAGGAGGCCAGGCTGCTGGTGTGCAATGCTGGGTGCAAGCAGGCTGAAAAGGACACATCTGCGGGGATGGGTCTCGTTGCCACTTTACTGCGCTCACAGGTGGGCCCAGGTGGGCAGACCGTGTGTGTGGTGGGTGCCAGGCACAGCTGGGAGCTGCACACATCCCCTCACCTCACACAGCCTCTCTGGGTACCACTAACATCTGACTGTTACAGTGGGAAAATGGAGGCTCAAAGAGGCTCAGTAACTTCCCCGGGCTCACAAGGCATCTGAGCCCCGTCTGACCCCTGAGCATAGAGCCAGGTGGGCAGGTGGAAAAAAGGCCCAGGGGACCGATGGCACAGCACACCCCCATGACCCCATTCCTCTGGTGCAGTGGACAGGCCCGGGAAAGGACATACCTGTCCCTAAGGGTGTGTAACTTCTTAGGGGAGGCTGTGGGACCTGCCCTGACTGCCCAGGCCTGGGTGCTGAGGACACCAGGACTCGGGCCCAGCGGCTGGAAAGGCTGTGCACATGGTATTGACATGCAGTATGTGCACACCCGTGCACACATATGTACACACCTCTTACATGGTATACCACCGGCACTGCCCTCCTGCCCAGGAGAAGTAACAGCAGTGAATACCCATAAGATGGAAAAATCCCAAACCATCCTCCTGTGTGAGAACAGGCCGCTTTCCAAACAAGCAGCCACGTACGTGACTTTCCAGAAGCTTCCCTAGGCTTCCCGGAAGCACCAGATCCCTCTGGCAGAGTTAGGGCCTGAGGTTTGCCCAGCATGTGCCAGACAATGAAGCCACCAGGGCCCGTGCAGCCCCTGGTGTTACCCCAAATGTGCAGACGGGGAGTCTGAGGTTCGCCCAGCAGCACAGTGGGGAGCCCAGACCCCACGCAGCCTGCCTGTCATACCCCAACCTGGTCCAGGTTTGCCGTGTCCTCTCCAAACAAGAAGTGGCCAATCCTCAGGGGCCCGTGGTGAATAGCAGGCTTGCCTGCCCTCCCCCAGGGCTAGGGAGTCCAGGAGCAGACAATGTAGACTTCCTGCGCCCCAGGGGACCCTGGAGAGCTCTCAGTAGGGCCAGCAGGACACGCAGGCCTGTCCCAGGGGAGGGGTCACTCACTGGGCACACGGTTGATGGCACGCAGGGGCCGCAGCACGCGCACTGTCCGGATGGCCGAGAGGCTCACGTTGTGTCCATCTAGCGAGTACTCCATCATGCTGGGGGAGCGGCAGAGGGATGGGGAAGCTCAGGGGGTGGGTGGGGCCCCGGGGGCAGGGGTGAGCACCACCTTCCTCCAGGGCACCTTGCCAGCCGAGGCCAGGAGGCCTGGTCCCGGAGCTATGCACCGAGCCTCCCTGGGGCCCCTCACCACTCACGGACCATCTGTGTCCGTCCTGCCACCCCCACTGCTGTGGGGCAGTGTCCTGTTCCCTGACAGAGGCTGCACTGGTCCCCCAGCCCCCAGCCGCCTCCCAACATTGGCCCCACCGGACCCCTGCAGAGTGCGCCCCCATCCCTCTTCCTGGTGGGACCCTGGGACGGCCAGACCCCGGGGCAGCCAGTGGGGCCCGAGCGGGGCAGGGCTCCCAGCCAGGCTTGGTCAGGCACCGATGCCACTGTGGGTACAAGGGTCTCCTGGGCCAGCCCCGGCTCTGGTGGCCAGGGGTTCATACCCCGCCATGACGATGAAGAAATCCAGCCTGTTCCACGTGTCCCCCAGGTAGCACTTCTGCCCAAAGAGGCCCAGGGCAATCATCTTGATGATCATCTCCACCGCGAAGAAAGCAAAGATGAAGTCATCGAAGGCCTGGAGGGAGGCGGGGCCTGAGAGCCAGTCCTGCCAGCCGGTCACCCCGAGGCTGGCCCTGGCCAATGGGCTGTGCCCCCCACCCCCCGGATGCCCCCGGGCCCACCTCCAGGATGCTGCAGCGCTCCGACTGGCACTCGACGTCCTCACAGGGCCGGAACATGCCCAGGGTCACGCAGTTGAGCATGATGACCAGCATGCTGACGTGCTCGAACCACGTGGGGCAGGCAGCCAAGTTAAGGATCAATGCCGGAGGCTGAGACATGGCCGCAGGGGAGCAGCATGGAGAGCAGGGCCCTGGGACCCCCACACCCTGTCAGCTGGGCCTTGAGAGGCAGAGCCGCGACCCTGGCCACTGTGTGCAGCACCCGCACACCGCCACGTGGGCCCCTGGCCAGGGGCCGGAGGACAGGCTCCCCACAACACTGGTACCCCAAGCTCAGGCCAGACACTCGGGGAGCCATTTCACAGGCTCTGTCTGGCCTGGGCCCCAACACGTGCTGTGGATGCACACACACCGTGAGGGTGCGCCCACGCTAACCCCCACGTGACTCTAGCAGGCCGAGGGTGCCCCAACTCCAGCTACTGGGACAAGGAACGAGAGCTTTCCATCAGCTCAGCAGCTGGGCATGGGGGACCTGCAGCCCTCCTGAGCACCTGCACCAACGAGGACCCAGCAGGACACCTCCTTGCTGCCCGGCCTCCCCACCCGGCCCCCCAGCCTGGAGCAGAAGCTGCCCAGGTGACCAGCTCCATCCAGGAGTCTCTGGCTGGCTAGCAGGCGTCCAGGTGGGGTGGGAGCCTCGGGAGCAGGCTCAGCAGGGCGTGCTGCATCCTCACACACTCTGCACCCCGCCACCCTGCAGGCTCCCTGGTGGGACCACAGCCCACCTGTGACCTCCCGGACGTGCTGGGAGCAGCCACCAGGTGGCGCTGGGGCTCCATGCAGGCTGCACAGTGGCCTGGCCCAGGGAGGCGGTCTCTGGGAAGGGGTGTACCCCGCGCCCCCACCCCAGTTAGTTCGCTAGGGACTAGGGGGAGCCCTCTGCTGGACTGGCTGGGTCAGGCATGAAGAAGGGCTGGGCTGCGTGGGGGAGCTAGGCTCCATGCAGACCCTGTGGATGCAGATGGGTACCCCTGGCGGCTGAGAGGGCTTGGGGGCATTCTGTGCACCCCACACGCCATCCCCACGTCAGGGTCTGGAAGCAGCTCCCCTCTCCCCCCCCCTGCAGAGCAGGGACAGGGCCAACAGCGCACAGTTCAGTGTGGCACCAGGCCAGCACCATCATTACGTGCCCGCCCAGAGCGCTGTAACTATGGTTAATAGGCTCGGTGGTAACAAGGGCCTGGGCCGGGTCTGGCTGTGGGGAACAGAAGCCAGCTTCCCACTAAAGCAGCACCCGGCCCCCAGCCCCACTGGTGGGGGGGGCGTGGCACATGTGCTTGCTCAGGTGCTGGGCTGGGACCGGGCCATCCCCGTGGGAGGGGGGGGGCACAGTGCCGTAGCTGACGGATGCACCTATGTGCACCAGCAAGGTTCCATTGGGGCATCTTGGGGGCACCCCTGCAGTAACCCGGTCCCAGGCTGTGTCACGGGGGGCTCATGCTGCACCACCCTCCTGGCCTCCTGACCTTTTGTCCCTTAACTGCTGTAGTCACACCTCTGAGAAGGGGCATCTGTGCGTGTCACAGCAGGTGGGGTGCTCCCAGTTAAACAGAATGGGTCAGCAGACCCGCCTGTAAGGAGACGAACCCCCCATACCCCCCACATGCCCATGAAGCCCGGCAGGAGAGCAGGAGGCCCCGGGTGGGCAACGGGAGGGCAGGCGACGGTCGGATGGTGTGAGGGAGTGCATCCCAACCCTGACCCAAGTAGACGCAGGTGCACGCTATCCCCCCCGACCCCCCGCTCTGGGAGGCAGCGCACACCAGCCTGGGCCCACCCAGTGAGGGTGTGGGGGCTGTCTGCCCCTTTTGAACCTGTCCCAACATGCCGAGCTCTCCCTGCACCGAGTGCCCCCCCCACTCCTGCAGACGTCCTGCCCTAGCAGTAGGGTTTCTAGCCCAGTCAAGCCCTGGCCCCCCAGCTTCTCCAGTCCACCAGTACCACTCACCCTCACCTGGGACTCGTCTCTCCAGCCCATGGCCCGGTTTCTCCCCGGCCTGTGCCCATGCTCAGTCACATCCCCCAGACCAGGGAGAGTGACCTCAACTAGCAGGTGCCCTCCACCATCAGGTGATGGATATTCATGCCCTCCCTGTACCTGGCCCGGAAGAAGCCCACCAGCTACCCTCAAGCCCCTAACCATCACTGCTACCCGCCCCCACACGCACTACTTCAAGGCATCTAGCCACACCATGGTGTGGCCCATGTTCTGGGCCCTGGGACAGAGAGCCAGGTGGGGACGAAAGGGGCAGGTAAAGGCAACTCCTGGTCTGGGGATTCTTGCAGGCGGCCTGCCCCGGACCCCAGAGCTGGTGTCAGGCAAAGCTGAGGATCTCTGCCCTCAACAGTGATCCTGGGCTGTGAGGCCAGTGAATCTGGATTCAGGCCAGGATCCACGAGACTATTCGGGTCAGGGGCTAGGAGGGGCTAGGAGGGGCCCTCACTCCCCAGGACAAGCCATACACCAGGCCCCAAGCAACTGGAAAAGACAGCTCTGCTTAGGGTCCCTGAGCTGGGGTCCTACCTCTATATCTTCCCAAACTGCTGACAAGCAAAACCCACCCGCCAACCGTGGCTTCCTCCTGACTCTGCTGGTCCTATGGGCCCTGGCCTGCCCGCCCCACCCATGAGGCATGCCTGGCAGGCTCAAGACCCCAAGGGGCAGAAGGCTGAGTGCCCAGCAGGTTCATCCAAGAAGTGGGGACACTACTGGGGTAGGTGGGACAACCAAACTGGGCAGCATGACCCCAGCATCTAGAAAGTTCTCCATCCATCCCCAAGAGCTCTCGCCCCTTTCGGGTTACTATCCAAACGATACAGCCTCTGCCTCTCTCCCCCCACCACCCCAGACACACACCTGGGAGGGAAAAGACCCTAGGGTCCTGCACCCGGGCCCCAAGATCTTGCCTTGGTCTGTGCAAAGGTGTCACATGTATGCACGGTTCTCCCAAGACACCCCCAGAGCTGCCCTGCACCTGCTGTGCTGGGTAGGGGCTCCACTGGCCCTGCAGATGGCCAGGAGGCTCCCCAGAGACAGGGGCAGCCAGCCCAGGGGTCACAGGGCTAGAGCGGCCCCCTGCACGCACAAGGCCAGCACCCCCCCCCGTCACACCTTAGTGGGCAGCTAAGGACAGGCAGGGCCAGCCGGCTCCTCATCCAGAGCCCAGTGGCTTAATTACACAGATGGATTTTCTGGGTTTTAATTAAAAATCCTTTAGGTTTTGAACCAACTTCTACAAATTAGAGTCAATCTCCACCATGGGTCCAAGAAAGCCAAGATGATATGCAGTCTGGAGGCGGTGGCCATACCGGCACAGGGAGGGGGCCGTGGCACTGCCCAGGGCCCGAGTCTAACGCTGAGTGATGTGGTCTCTGCCACAGGACCCCCAGAGCCCCAGGAGGCTCTGTCCGGCCGCAAGCTCCCTGACCCACATCCTTTGACTACCCTGGCCCCAGCCCATCCAGCTCCAGGAACCTCCCAGGGCCTGGGCTGGGCCTGCACCACCACCCACGCTGGTTGGGGGGGGTGGCTCATAAATGAAAGACGGGGTCCCAGAGCCTCTCTCAGCACTGGGAGCAAAGGTCCTATCTTTTGGGGGGCCTTTCAAGTGCCATGCGCACCCTGCGGGCCCCACCCTTCCAGCATATTGGCCCCAGCCTGGCCTGATGCCAGTCTTTCCCACCGTCTCCCTCCCCTTTAGGTCTTTCCGGGACCAGTGGAGTAGCAGGTGCTGAGCCTGCGCTGCACCACCTTCCCATTCTTGCAGCAGCGCCCATGGCCAGGCCTCCCCCAGCAGGGTGCAGGAGGAGCCCAGTCCTGTCTAGACGTTCTCGGTGCCAGATTCACAGCTTCTTGGACCAGGGCTCCAATGCACCCCACACGCAGACACCCCAAGGCCAGGCCCAGCGGGTGAGGAGGTGGATTGGAGGGGCAGCGCCAGGTGACCGCTGTCCGTGGTGCTGAAGACGGCCTACCCCAGACGCGCTCAGAGGACTGGGAAGGAGGCTCTGGACGGGGCACCTGCTGAGCAGCCTGGGGGGTGCTGCTCACGCTGACCCAGGCTTTACTGGAAACCACCCATCGATCCACCCTTTCTCATTCTGACTCCCAGCTGGTTAAGCAGAGCATACCGCCTGAGGCTTCGAAGATGGCCCTGGCCTGAGAACACCATCTCTCCCCTGTCCCTGGCTGTGGGCCCTGGGTGGGGACAGCCTGGAAGTGGGGGTGACCGCGGCAGGCACCGTCATCTCTGCACAAAGACACCACCGGCTGGGAAGTGTGAGGCTGCTGGGACCGGGCCTGGAAGCCAGAAGGGGCTCATGGCCACTCAGCCCACGTTTTGGGGGCTGCCGGTCCCTCACCAGCAGCTGTGCCAACAGGGGACCCTGACACTCTATGAGGATCCCCACAGAGGCCTGTATGGCACAGGACAGTGTGACCTGAAGGGTGGTCCTAGACCTGTGAGCCAAATCCTCATCGTTGCACGCAGGTCCCCACGGCCACCCAGCCCTGCTGGCTCAGGGCCCCCAGACCTGTGGAGTGAGCCATTTCTCCCCCTGCCCAACTCGGAGCCAGGGGATGAGCCTGATCCCTGATAGTACCACTACCCACTCCTCACCCTGAGCCTCAGTTTCCCCAGCTGCACGGTGGGAGTGATGGCATTATCTTTCAGGTGCTGAGGGAAGCGTCCAGCAGGCTCCCACGTCCCCGTCCCCTCCCTTATCCTGGCGGGGCCACTTCAGCTCCCCTGGCTGGCCGTGGACATGGAGGGAGAGGACATTGTGTTTTTGCCAGGGGGGCAGAGCTGGACAAGCTGGACACCCCGCGCTGAGAGACGCAGACCTGTGGGGCACATGGAGGCTGGAAGGCTGCGGGAGGTGGCCACGAGGCAGGCTTTGTGGGGACCGAGACCTGACCCCCCCAGGCTGGGCTCCCTGAGTGGCCATCGTGAGATCACATGGATAGAGCTGCAAAGATGAGAAAGCCCCAAGCAGGCCAGCCCCGCCTGCTGCCCCCCAGGGCAATCTGCTCTGCCAGCTAAGCTCCGTTAG